AATTTTACAACAGCAGTAGCTGCAGAAAATTATTTAAAGGAATAATTTGTTGAAAAGCAGGCAAATAAAATGCACACATGATAATAAAAGCAATCAAGTAAAAATATTAATTTAAGTAACGATAGGGCGACGACCGTTTTGGCAAAAGCGGTCCCACTGATGTCATTGATTGTAATAATTTTTATTAGCTATAAAATTAATCTTTGTTTTCAAATAAAGTATTTAAGAGACGAATCAAGTGTACCATACATTTAGTGTATCTAATAAAATTTAAAGATCAGCGGGTATCGATAGCTTTAGACATCTTTCAATTCATAGACGTTAAATCCCTAAATCCCATATACGTTCATATTAGATCTTTTATGGGATAGATAGAAACCCACCAGATTTTATACTTAATACTTCGTTTACTTTGTCCAATTTTATGATTCATAAATACACGGTAGCTGCGAAGACTTGTATCCTTTAACACAATTTATCTATTTTATCTACTCATAAAATGTCAGCTAGATATTTCCCAGTACCTATATCCTTCCACTTTTACTATGTTAAAATAATATTAAGTTTAAAAATTAATCCACGTATATTTTTAAAAGCTTTAAGTATTGTCTATTAATCTTTGATCTCTGTATTCATATACGAATCATTAAATAATTCTATGATACCTGATGGAAAGTGGTAACCGTCACTATAGACACATTGCCTTACTGTACTTATACAATTATATCGTTGTGTTCGTTAATTGTCTCGCTTATTCACTATATTATATAATGCAAATCAAGTATACTCATTCATTGTTTTTTTTTATACAACTTAGAATGGCAAACAAACTGACGGCCCACCTGATGGTAAGTGATAACCGTCGCCTATAGGCATGAGCAGTACTATGGACAACAGAGTGTACTGTTTCGCCCATGATACCCCCCATGCGTTGCCATTCCTGAGGACTCAGGTGTTATTCCTCTGTACCCTGTAAATTCACGCCATATTCTACCCTTGAAACCGAAACACAGCCATGCAAACACAACTGCTTCACAGTAGAAACACGAATGGGACAGACTAATTGATATTTTATACACAAAGAATATTTTTAATCAAAATCTGTACTCAATTGTTGATAATGCTCCGCTAAAAGTGGAACCCCGCCTTATTCAATAGCACCAGTAGCGATGACACTCTTTGCCACAGTAATTGATATAAATACAAACAAACAGAAGCCAGATTTTTTCGATTCGACTTCGTTAAGTATTGTCCGTAAGTTGCAGTATTGTATTGACGATAATATCAGAGGAATTTTGAAAGTAGCACGAGCGAGACAATGTTGAGGAAAAAACCGTTTATTTATGAATGTAAGAAAAATATCAAGCAAAGATGTAGTTCAAGTATTAAGAAGGATAAGTAAGCTGAAGTGGCAATGGGCTGGTCACATAGCTTGAAGAACCGACAACCGATAGGGAAGAAAGGTTCTTGAGTGGCAACCACCCACTGAATGCAATGACGAACTCAAATGCATTGCATTTGAGTTCGACTAAAAAAACTATTTAAGTTTTTAAACACGGGAGGAACCCAATATACATATATATATTGGATCAGAATCCACATTACCCATGCCTATTCAGTATAGGATTATACATATATAGACATTTTTTTTGGCTCACTTGTATTATGTTTTATGCCCTAGTTACCTCTTACAGCATTCTAGGAATAAAAAAAGGTGTCGTAAATCTTCAGGTGAGACATAGTGCGTCAACAGATGACGTCTTCACTTCATTTCACATATAATTTTATCGTTTCTGTTATGAAAGTAAAGTTTGAAACAACATTATATTATGTTTTTTTTTTTTATACAACTTAGAATGGCAAACAAGCTGACGGCTCACCTGATGGTAAGTGGAAACCGTCGCCTATAGACATGAGCAGTACCATGGACATAACAGAGTATACTGTTTCGTATAATATATACCCCCCATGTGTTGCCATTTCTGAGGACTTAGGTGTTATTCCTCTGTACCCAGTAAATTCACGCCATATCCCACCCTTCAAACCGAAACACAGCCATGCAAATACAACTGCTCCACGGTAGAAACACGAATGGGACAGTGGTACCCAAGCAATCGACTTTTGTGCAAAGTCTCCCTCTGGTATAAATGTAGATAGATATGTATATGTATATAGATTTATCGACAAAGTTGGTAAAAATCTAGTTGAAAATTTATTTAAAATCTGGATATGTTTAAAGTTCATCGTGTAAGGTGCATCTTTAAAGCAAACGGGTACGAACTTTCACGTGTGAAAGCTAAAAACTTAAAGTAAAATTAGTAATATATTATTATTATTATTATTTCAGCCGTTAACTGCCCACTGCTGGACATAAGCTTTCCCCATAAGAAAAGTTTTACCAGTAGTTGCCACGATTGCCTATAATAATATATAATAATATAATATATGTAAATGTAGTTGAGTTGAGTTTCGTACTTTTCATATTTTCTAATTTTTCTTTAACTTTTTATACAATTACTAATATTTTATAATATTCACCATTTCGGCCTTTAACTTCTGAACATAAGCTTCCTTTTTTCTAGTAGTTACCACACTTAACAGGCCAATTGGCAACCACAGCTAACTGCAGTTGCCAATTAACAAACAACACATTTCAAGAGTCTAAACTTTGGAAATGTTTTAAGAGGGACGTTGCTGGCCATCCCTAGCTTTTCCTTAATCACCATTTAGAACACCAACGGAAAAGGAAGGAGTGGCCTATTCTATGCCGGGACCACACAGTAAGCAATTTTATATTATTATTATTATTACATAATGGTATCATCAATGTTTTCTTGTAAAAACATATCTTATTTCTCGATTGAAAACTAATACATTAAAACAAACTTGGGATGGTGCATCGATCTGACGAAATCTCAACAGTTTTCTTTTATTTATGCAACTTAGAAGCAATAAACTGACGGCCCACCCGATGAAAAGTGATAACCGTCGCCTACAAACATGAACAATCATGCATTGCCATTCCTGAGGACTAAAGTGTTATGCCTCTGTACCCTGTCATTTCATTGCCAAATCACACGAAAAGAGCTTTAATAATATTTGAACTTATTTTAAAGAGACTCAGTTTTATACACCTTTAATGAATATCTGATATTCCCAAAGATCTTAAAGTTAAATAAAGATATTTCATTTTATATGAGAACTTTTTTGTTATTCTAAGTCTTTCTTGACAGGTAATTACAATGCCAACTGAAATTGGAACATAATCTTCTTTGGAACTTTATTTTGAACTTTTATCACTAATTCTTTAATAAACTCTGTTCCAAATATTTCAAAGTATTTAAAATATTTAATATATATATTCTGTGGTATTACTTGTAACTACTTGTATTATATTATCTGTGTTTAGGATCTATAGTCGTATTTTATTGTAACACAAGCTCTATTCACGTTTTTTTAGTGCTATTTTTTTAATGGGAAAAAAATGGAATCAACCCTGCCACGCTATCGATATACGCAAGTAAGGTCATATGTATCGATATACTAATAAGTATTGATAGTTGAAGATGGAGATAGATCAGTTAGCCCATGGTGATGAAATCAAAACCATTCCATTTTTTTTAATGGATGATAATGGAATGGTAACCCCACCCGCGCCATCGGTATACACCGGCGGGGCACCAGTGAAGGATGATAGGGGAGGATGAAGTAGGTCAGTTAGCTCATCGTGACGAATTCAACAAGAATTGTTCACGATGGTTTCCAGGGGGAACCACGTGGTAGTCGACCTAAAAGGGCATATTACTGGCAATAGGCATATCAAACTCCATTGCTAACAATTCCTTTCCCCCAAACCATTCCATTATCATACATTGGAAAAAAATCCCTTCCCCCCACCCAAGAGCGCAGGCGGAGTTACTATACCATTATCACCCACTAAAAAAAGATTAATTTTAGTTTAGTATAGTAAATAAAAAATCATGTTCGTTACCTAGAAATTAGTTCTCCGATTTAAAAATATAGAATTTGAACTTTATCCTAAAACAAAAACTGTTAATTTTGCACTGCAATCCTGTTACGTAGAATTCTATTATGCTCGGCGGAATGCGGGCGAGTCAAGAGACGTACTCGTATACCAAAACGGCAACAGTCGTCTCAAATACCTCTACGTCAGCTGGGATTACCGTGAAGATATTCATTTTAAATCCACAAGTAGGTACTCTCATTTTGCGAAGCAATAAAATAAACGGACACTAAAGCACTTCGCCTCCCATTCCTTAAAAAATCATCAATGACAGTTACAAAGTTTTTTGCTTGGCCTAAATGTGTATTTAACGAAGTTAATGCTACAAGATTATATATATAAACATTCCATAATCTTTTGCTGTCACACTAAACGCTTTCACGAGCTTCAATCCAATTTGTTTGTGTGTTTTTTCGTATTATTTTTTTCGACATTTCCGATCTTATAACACGATTATTGAATTCTGAATATGAGAAAGTCGAAGTGAAGTCGCATATTATACATGCAAGTAGTTTTTGTTTTTATATATAACTTAGAATTGCAAACAAGCTGACGGTTCACCTGATGGAAAGTGGTAACCGTCACCTATAGACATGAGCAGTACCGTGGCCATAACAGATTATACTGTTTCGCCCATTATAACCCCTATGCGTTGCCATTCCTGAGGACTCGGTGTTATTCCTCTGTACCCTGTAAATTCACTGCCACATCTCAATCTTTAAACCGGGTGGAAAGGATTGTTAGTAATGGGGAGGTTAGTCCCCGTTATGGACAACTAAAGACTAATATGATAATAATGATGAAACAATAGTAATTATAGGGTAAAGAGGTTTCTTCAGGGTCGGCAACGAGCGCGTAATACCTTTGGTATTGCAGGCGTTCATAGGCTACGGTAACCGCTTACCGTAGGCCGTATGCTTGTTTGCCACCTCAGTGGTATAAAGAAAAAACAAAATAGATTAAAATGTATACTTACATAACTCCCTTCCCAGGACCCAAGTTTCCGGCTTCGAATTCACTTCAACCAACACGGTCGGCGTACAAACTAGCAACACCATTAAATCCGCAATACTCAAATTCACTAGAAATATATTAGTAGAGTTCCTCATGTCCTTGGTCTTCAGTATTACAATTGGCACCATCACATTTCCTATAACACCTAAACACATTATAGCTATACAAAAGGTCATTGACGTTGCCTTTATATAATACGGTATTTCAGTGTATTCCGTGAAATTAATGCCCGACACACCGATCGCTCCATCGGTATTATTCGAGTACTCGTACGTACCGTTCGATTGGTAATCATAATCGGACATCTCGATTTTCGGCAGTGTGGCATTTTGCGTGTCATTTTTGTAAGTGAGGTGAGCGTATTGTAATGTACTCTGGACTTGTGTGAAATTGTTTATAGAAATCATGTGAATGATGTTGGTGTGTACATTATTTCACATTTTTCGTCCGTGATCCGACGGTGCGCCGCTCTATCTCATTCTTCACAATTCGATGGATGATCTGTAACAAATAAAAACATATTACTTTCACTGTTATCTTAAATCTCTTACTTAGTTTAACATGGGGGAAAGGGATTGTTAGTAATTTGGTCTAACTGCCCCATTACTAGCAATACACCCTATCAATTCGACCTCGAAGTGGTTCCCCCTGGAAACAGTTTTTTTTATACAACTTAGAATGGCAAACAAGCTGACGGCCCACCTGATGGAAAGTGGTAACCGTCGCCTATAGATATGGACAGTACCATGCACATAACAGAGTATGGTATACTGTTTCGCTCATGATACCCCCCATGCGTTGCCATTCCTAAGGACTCAAGTGTTATTCCTCTGTACCCTGTAAATTCACGCCATATCCCACCCTTCAAACCGAAACACAGCCATGCAAACACAACTGCTTCACGGTAGAAACACAAATGGGACAGAGGTACTCAAGCAATCGACTTTTGTACAAAGTCTCCCTCTGGTCAGTCCCTTCTCCCCATAGCTATCGCATTAATTTGCACCTTGCAACTCGCGCTATGTGAAGAAAAACATAATTAAGTTAAAAGGGAAACTTGTGATTAACCTGCGGCGCGAAGTTAAGCAAATTAAGTATCCAAACTTACATACCTTCTACCCACTCGCTTAATCTTGCAAGTTTAACTCCGACCTCATTTCTGTGTTGGTTTTAGCTAAATCTAATTTGTTTTAATGCCACAACAAGTCGTGATCTTTAAATACAATAATCTGTATCGATTCTAACTTGCCAATTAGGTATTTACTATATATATATATATATATATATATATATATATATATATATATATATATATATATATATATATATATATATATATATATAGTATTTTATTCTTTATGGATCTAATTACCGATTCGACTAATTATTTCCAAAGCAAATTAAAGCAAATGTGAGTTTTTTAATTAAACTTAGAGCATACAAGCTGACGGCCCACCTGAAGGAAAAGGTACCACCTAAGGAGTTGTAACCGTCGCCTATAGACATGAGCAGTACCATGGGTATAACAGAGTATACTGGTTCGCCCATGATGCCTCCCATACGTTGCCATTCTTGAGGACTCAGGTGTTATTCCTCTGTATCCTGTAAATTCACTGCCATATCCCAAACCTTCAAACCGAAACACAGCCATGCAAACACAACTGCTTCACGGTAAAAATATGAATAGGACAGAGGTGCCCAAGCAAACGACTTTTGTACAAAGTCTCCCTCTGGTACATTTGTACGTATGTAATAAAATAAAGCCCATACTAAGTTTTCTCATCCATGTCCGTGATGAGACTCTATCATGTTTACGAAGCAATAGACATACATACAAACTTTTCTCATCAGCGCGATTAAATAAATAAGTCATTCTGTTTATCTCATACTAGCAAAACGGCCCGGTTTTACATGAGTTTGTTGAAGAAAAAATGCAGCTAGGTGAAGGATTTTTCAGAATTGGTTAAGTATTATTTGATGATTAAAAAATAAAAGTCAGTCAGTGAATGCAGGTAGCTCAGGACTGTTTCTAATGGATACCTACCATGTATGTACAGATATATATATATATATATATATATATATATATATATATATATATATATATATATATATATATATATATATATACCCATTCTATAATACTAAGGCAATATGGCAGCCATTTGAATCACTTCTCATTAAAATTAACTGTATTTATTATTTTATAAATACTGCAATTAAATGTAAAATAAAGAAATAAATGCTACATATATAGAAGACCCAAGAATTCCCACTGCAAATGTTTTCTGCCAATGCCCCTAGCTTCCGACGCCATTTAATAGCCTATTAAACTAGGGTAGTATATAATTAATAATCAACTCCCCACGGTGCCTGTTGCAAGAACACTGCAACTAAATTACCTTTCTGGCGAAGGTATTGACCGGGTCACTGTGACCCGGTCAATATCTGAAAAAGTGAATTGACACGTACATTGATATTTATACTTCTTCTTCTTATTTTTATTTATTATTTGACAAAAAACACAAAATTACAAATACAAAATACAATGGGCCCCACACTAGACGAACCTGTATCGTGGGCACCCGACAAAGATTAACAAATCACAATGTTATAAATGCGGGTATTGATATAAAAAGAAATAAAAAATTGAAATATTGAAAAAAGTAAAAAAATCAATAATATAAATACACAAGCAATTATAAGATACTGATAATATATGTCCTTAAGAGAAATCACTTATTTAAGAGTTTCCTCTTGACAGAACAACTAATTTATGTATCCTCTTCTAGCCAGCTCTATTATTATTATTAATTTAGCCGTTAACTGTCCACTGCTGGACATAAGCCTTCCCCGTAAGGGGAGTTTTGCCAGTAGTTGCTACGCTTGACAGGCGGGTTGCTACATATCAACTTTCATAATGATTGATTAAAACGATAAGACACCCAAAATGAAGAAACAAATAAACAATATTTTTTTTGGGAAATAAACAATTTCTTATTACACTTAGTATATGCATATAAATAACATACAAAATAGTAAAATTTCCACACGTAAATAGAACGTATTTCACTTTAATTATATATTATTATTTATATTATATATGTCTGTTTATATATTGTAATCTTATTTTAATATTTAAAGTATTTTGCATTTTGTTTGATTCCTTTTACGTATTTACTTTGTCTGACTTGCGCCATCTACCTTTCTCTCTGTACTTATCCATTCTTTATGCCAGATTGCTGTAAGAGATTGCTTTTAGCGATAAGGCCGCCTTTTGTATATGCACATTCTGTATAAATACTCCTTGTACTCGTATACATCTCTACTGTGCGCAATAAAGAGTTTATTGTTATTATTTAAATACACATAAATACCAACCACTGAATAGTAAAAAGTAAGGCAATATGGCAGTGATGAGAGAATTAAGTAACTATAAATACATAATTAGGTGTAGATAACTGCTCTAAGATATATCCTGTACGTAAGTATATCCTAAAGGTTGATTGGTAGAGGATGCGTTTAGCATTTAATCCGCCTTTTGTACCACATTTCATTAGTCAATAAAGTTTAAATAAAAAAATAAATATTCCACACAGAAAAAAAAATAATAAAAAGAAATCGTCTAACTGAATAAATATCTCCTTTATTTATTACCGGAATAAACAAAATATAAATAAAAAAAGAAATAAAGTAAATATTTCACAACTAACCCACGGGACCGTGTTGTTTTAACTGATTGCAATCGAGTTACCATGATACGGAGAATTCAGCTGGAGAGCAAAGATTTGAAATTTTTTTGTCCGGTTCCTTACATTTTACTAGCGATATGACGCAGGCAAAATCTTTTATGCGGAATTGCGTCAGGATAATATAGACCATTACTTGATAATAAAATAGCTGTGTAATTATTTCTATTTATAATTAGTTTACTCTTGTAATCTTTTGAAGTAAACAATAAATAGTATTTAAAAGTATCTATCTACCTATCTTTCTTTAAATAAACGATTGTAATATTGTATATTTTTTGAGGTCATTGTAAATAAAAAATAGCATTTTTTTTAAGAATAGAATAGAATAGAAAAATTTATTGCCATACAATTACAATACAAAATACAAATAACATATACAAAAAGTGTCCTACACCCGGCAAAAGGAACCGGCTCAGCTGATGCTGCGAGTGTCCCAGAGCAATGTGAACAGCTGCACAGCGATGGTTTTCAGCCAGTCCCTCTCTTTTTAAAATAATGATTTAAATTTCTCGAATTATATACATTAAGATTTAATTCCTTTGCTGTGTGACTTACTTTCCCGAGGGTGTCGTAAGAGGCGACTAAGAGAGATTATGGTGGAGGGATGAGCAGCAGCGCCCCTCTCAAAACATCACCAAAGCCTAACTACGATTACTAACTGCCTGCCAAGCGTTTATTCGTCACGGTAGGCCATGATGGTGCCATGCCAGCGTATACCACCAACCCCATTGCTAGCTAAATACCCTATCAGGTCGACCTCCACGCGGTCGAATTTATGTATGAAAATATGTTTGTTTATTACTTCTTGGCGCCTTAACATCTGCACCAATCATCATGAAATTTTATTGATCCAATAAATTGGTGTCAGTACAATACGGGAGTTAACGGTATATACCCAATAGATTTGGCTAAGATAAGCCGACTTCAAAAAAATGAGGTTCTCAATTCGGTTTGAGAGATTTGAAAATTTGAAAGTTTGAATTTTTTTGATTTCTTTATCTTAAAGAATATATTATTATTACATATTTCTCAGGAATGGCAACGCATGGAGGGTATCATGGGCAAAACAGTATACTCTGTTATATCCATGGTACTGCTCATGTCTATAGGCGACGGTTACCACTTTCCATCAGGTGGGCCGTCAGCTTGTTTGCCATTCTAAGTTGTATAAAAAAAAAAGATTAAGCCCATAGTGATTTTATTAAAATCGGTTGAATACATTAGTTTTTAAATTAAATTTACTAGTTTTGACACAACTAAAATCAGTTTGACAGATATGTATGTATGTATGTATGTATGAAATCGGGTTTTTTTTTGTGAAACACAATCTTTAATTATTAAATCAATTAGTCATAGTTTAAGTTTACAAAAAAAGAATATAAAACAAAAAAAAATACAATTGCTTACAAATGGGAACTACTTTTCAAATAACTCCAAAAAGATAATCCTAGTTCGGCGTGGCGCAATCCTTGTAGTAGTCGTAAACCAAAACTATTACTGTTTCAATTAAGCAAGCATTCGGGATCTAAATTCTTATACCCTCATATTTTAATTAAAACAAACATGCAAATAAAGTGTTGAGTCTAACCCGCTAAGATAGGGAGGAAAGGGATTGTTAGTAATGGAGACGGAGAATCCCATTGCTAGCAATATACCCAACCAGGTCGACCTCCACGCGGTTCCCCCTGGAAACTATCATGGTTAATTCCTAAGGAATTCATCATAATGGGCTAACGGGCCTGTTTACAT